ATCTTGGGCAAAGACCAGTTATTCACAGATAAACCTTACCTAGACATATATTTCTTGATCTGGTATGTATAATTTGTCAGTAGGCTGTAGGAGTAATATGGTTCCCTCTGGTTTTCAAACCTAGCTAGGCATTGTTTATCTCTTGCATTGTCTCACCCCTCCATCATGGTTTCCCCACTTAAGGTGCCTGCATTAAAAATAAAAAATAAAGATTAGAGGAGTAAAATGTGTTGGAAACCACTCAGGACACTTGCTTACCAAGTGAGAAAGCTGGGCTTTAAACCCCTGCTGTCTGTCTCCAAAATCTTGACTCTCAAATTCTGTGTATGCCTCCATTCTACCAGATTGTATATGTGTATCCAAACATGACTCTTCCTTTCCCAAAAAAATTATTTAGCAGAATGTTGAACAACATAATTGTTTATGGTGGATATCCTCTCTTAAAACATTTTTGTCCATTAAGGACCATGATTTTAGCTATACAAACTTGGGTCAAACTCAGATGGAGATGTAGCTCAGTTAATAGTAGAGTGCTTACCCAGTGTCCACAGAGCTCTAGGTTTGATCCCCAGAACCACAAAAACCATGGTAGCACATGCTTATAATCCCAGCATTCAAGACATGGAGTGAATGGATCCACACTGAAGGACATTGGGGGACACAAATCACATTATATATATTTGAGGACACAATTACAGTCTATAGGCCTTAGTATATATAGTAAAGTACATTAAATTGGGTGGGGCAGTAAGAGGAGGTGGGGTTAGGGGAGGGGATCTAAATACCACCAAACTATATGCTATGGAAATCACAAAAATTCAATAAAAAACGCAAAAAAAAACCAAAAATATATAGTTGGCCCTCTGTATCCTGAATTTTGCATCCTCAGATTCAACTGACCACAGATGGACAATATTAAAGAAGTTAATTACATCTGAACTAAATGTGAAGACCCTTTTCTTGCTATTATTCTTTAGACTATATAATACAGAAACTATTCACATATCACTTAATATATCGTATAAGTAATGTGCAGATTATTTATAGTATAGGGGAAAATGTACATAGATAATATGCAAATGCTAGACCATTTTATATTAGAGACTTAAGTATCAAAAAATTTGTTTCCTGGAACCACTCCACGTGGATACTGACAGATGACTCTACATGTATGACATGGTAGATATTTATGAGTGCTAAGTAAAAACTCAAAACAAGTAAAGAGTGTAGGAGACCCAGGGACAGGGAACTTTTACACTGTTCATTAACCTTGGAAGGGAAAGCCTATCTTAAAGCAAAGGAGAAGAATCCTAAAGCTGATGGATGGAGCCATAGTCTGGTCTAAAGGAAAGACCCAAAGGAAGGAACAACCTCTGTAAAGACTATTGAGAAACCATCTGGTGTGATCAAGTTTCAGCAAGAAAGGGTTGTGTGTCCCGGGAGGAAGGAGTGGAAAGACGAGCGTGTGGGCTGAGGTAGGAAGCAGTACTGGGGCTGAAGCTCCTAGGAAACCTTCATATAAAATGCAAAGGTTTGTTCTTTCCAGGTTGGTAGGCAAGTCATGAGGCGTGGTCTGACTTCTAGCTTTATAGGATAATGCCAGACCGGGGATGTATTCAGTAGCTCAGGTCTAGAATGACTGCCTTAGCATGTATAGAGCCCTAGGTTTAATACCCAATACCTTTGTGTTTCTCTCTCTCTCTCTCTCTCTCTCTCTCTCTCTCTCTCTCTCTCATCCTGGCTGCAGTAGGAGATTAAGGGCAAGGACAAGAAGCAGGACATGCCTACACAGGCTATTCAAGTCAGCCAAGGGGGATATGACGCATCACACCACAGTGACAGCAGCAGCAGTGGGGGGAAAAGTTGTGCAGGTGAAGCCAACACTACACCAATGGATTGGGTGTGGAGTGTGAGCAAAAGAGAGGAAACAAGATTAAGATCAATCATGAAGCAACCGGTTACTGCTATGTGGGAAGGAGATGGTTGGGAAGGGGATCAGGGGTTAGATCTTGAGCAATTTTCCAGGGCTACGGTAACAAAGTACCACAAAGAGGTGGTTAAAACAACAGAAATGTAGTCTCCACAGTTCTACAGGGTAGCAGTCTAAAATCAAGGTTCGGGGGAGTTAGGCTTCCTCTTAGACCCACAGTGTCCTTCCTTGCCTCCTTTTAGCTTTGGGTGGCCAGCAGTCCTTAGCTTTCCTGGACAACAACTCAGTGTCTATTCCCTCAGTCTGGTCTGTTGCCATGTGGCATTCCACCTGCAACTATCTCCTCTTACAAAGCCACCACTCTGAATCCATCTTGATTGCCTCGTCTTCACTTAACCACATCTCTATTTCAAATAAAGTTTTTTCCAGGATGTGGTAGCAGGATTTCAGGAGCAGCTTTAGGGAATATGGCTCAAACTATAACATGTACATCAAGTTTGGTCTTTTGGATTCCTTACACCAATGTTGAGAAACTAGTTGGATATGCAAATCTGGAATTCAGCCGAAAGATCCATCTTTACAGGTATGGTGGCACAGGCCTGTAGTCTCAGCACTCGGGGCATAGGCAGAAGGATCACAGCAAGTTCAAGGGCAACCTGAGCTATAGTTAGACCATGTCCAAAACAAATTGGAACTTACATTGTTTTATATTCTCAACTCTAAAACTCTACTGGATAAACCCAGAAATGTACAAATCGGAGATAATTTTCTTCTCCATAAAACTGGAAGATAGTCACTGCCCAGGAGAAAACATTGTAAGATTCTAATGGGACAATGACTGCAAAAACACAGTAGGAAGCCTGAAGCAGCATATGGATCCAAACTCCTCATTCTGTCCACTGCATGCAATTGAGCAATCATATATTTAACACAAATAGTTTCCTTTTTCC